AAGGAGTACATTTTGCCACCAAAATCCCATGACATCACATATATATATATTTCGCCAATTTCTACGGTCTTTGCACCTGAAGCCCGGTAGAGGTTGGTGTGTTATGCCGAAGGGCGGTTATGCCTAGTCTCCAGCAGACTCCTTTGCAGGCTGAATAAATAGAAATCGGCTAAGGGGGACATCATTGGCCAGAGGAGTTGGCCGGTCGGAAGCTGGACCCTCTATGGCCGGCCAACTCCTCTGGCCAATGATGACCCCCTTAGCCGATTCCTACTATTTATTCAGCCTGCAAATGAATCTGGTGGAGACTAGATTATGCCGGCTATACGTACAGATACAGAGGCCACCTTCGTATGGTAGAGCGGGAGGTGTCCCGTAGCTGTCCTTAGACCACCACGGGTTGCGTCACACATTCCAGACGGTAGATTAACCCACGTAAACCGGCGTGGCTGTTAGTTGTTTTCTCTCATACGCCCACTGATCATGAATACGTGACTTCATTCACTGTCTGGCAATTTCTGTAAGACCTTTAAAATCTCATAACATCAAAGACCTTTCTCTACAAAGTTGACTACATTCGTTACCACCTACGCAAGGTAAATCTTTCTTGACATTTTGCAAAAAAAGTAAGAAAAGTCTGGTCAAATAAAAAAAGTACTAGTAGTTCAAAGGTCTGGCAAACTGAAATAATACATACAGTCCTCTTTTTCTGAGGAAAAGGCTGCTCAATAAATTCTTATAAATTGTCAAATATGTTAATATGTTAAAATTCTGTTTCATACAATTTTCTATTCAAGATTCCTCTATAGCCTCAATTTTATATGCACAGAAAAGTGTGTTTCCCTGTATGTTATCCCTATAAGTAAGTAAGTAAGATAGTAAGTAAGTTATCTCTATATGTTTTCTCTAGTATGCGCCAAAAAGCAGTTACTCAAGTAACTGGATATGATTAGAGATCAGTTATTTGAAATGGTCACCAAAATGTTCCCCAGCTTTATTCACCTGCCCAGCCTACAAAAAACTGCATTTCTATTAACACCTCCCAATTCATATATCTCGCAAAACGTCGGCCATTTCATACTCCACTGCACACGGAAAAGAAATCAAACCCAACAATAACTACAAGTGTATATATAAAGTAGCATTAGCATCACTTATTATCATTCTACTGTTTACTGTTATCATGTTCTTGCAATTAGCCCTCGGGCATTAATTTGCAATAAACTTTCTATGATTTTGGAAACGGCCAGACGTTTCAGCTAGTATCCACTAGCTTTCGTCAGTGACTGAGAGACCAGAGGAGAAATGCAGGTTTGTGCTTATAAATCT